ATTAATAGGTCATGTTTTTTTGCAACACATCATAGAAAATCAAATAGCTGTGTTATGAATAAGGCCCATTACCTGAAATGTCACTTATTATATATTTCCTGATTAAGGCCACAGTATTATTGACTCACGTGTTTATTTTTAATATATGTACTTGTGCACCACGACTAATGCAGTACAGTCTAACCAGATAAATTGTTCACTCTTGGTTAAGGTTAATATGTATACCGATTAACAGGTGTATTGCATGTAACATTTAATTATTTTCCACCAGTGTTTGGGTTACCACCTGTCTAGTTTTACCCAGATTTCTATGGATAGTCTAAAAATAGGTAGTATGTTTGATGAAAATCAGATCAGCCCAGATACCCATACACAGCGTCACAGTTCTTACACAGCATGTGTCATGCGTAAGAACTCAGAGTATGTTTATAATGCCACTGCGGGTACATTATTCATATTGGTATTTAGACCAGTGTATTGGTCAACACAGTACTGTTGGTAGGGTGTGCCCTTGAAATAATGTGGGTGGTATACCAAGTCCCACTTTACATTTATATGTTTAGGCACCTCTATAAATTGAAAAAAACCTGGGGGGGAAATAAAAGAATACTGTCAAAGCTTGAAAACTTGAATAGTGAACAAGGTAATGGTGACTTGTTTGTCGGCCTGTCCATGCTGGGCAAAAACATCACACGTCAGGCAGACCCAGGTTGATACTATGCTTGTGATTTCAGAATTATCTCGTGACTTTCATTGCCATTAGTTTACATCATATACAAATTTGAAATAATATATACCAACAGCCATACAGTATAAACAACTTTACAAGCTATATAAATGGGCAAAATATGGTCTTCGTGGGATAAAAAAACAGATATACAAGGGCAAAGCATCCCTGAATTAGCCTTGCATTTTGAGGACACATCTGTAGACCTGGATTTAATTTCTGGCCAATTAGTGTTTGCATGATCCACAGCTGGGCCTGCCCTAAGCCAATCCAGCCAGACGTGAATGCTTTACCTGCTGTGTCTCTGTTGTCAATATCAGTTCTTGCAAGACACAAGTGAATATACAGTACGTGCATTACATTAGCCAAACCGCTGCTTTCAACGTCTTGCAAACATTTATATACATTTGAGACGATGGATAGTGGACTGCGCGATGAACACTGCCATTTGAGTTTGATTTTCAGCCATGGCTAAGATCGATGGTGATTGATATTTTTAACCGGCTTTGTGACCCCCTCACCTGACCAGTGTGATTTTATCAAACGACCACCAAGGCATGTGGGGTCCTTCGTCCAAAAGTGGATTGACGAATGATTGCAATTTATTTTTAATTCGGGATCTTTAATTGAGAGCAGCAATGAGATTAAAATAAATGTTTGGCTTAAATTATGAGAAAATATACAATGTTACACTATAACAAGTTTTAATTAATGTAAGTGGAAATTGGTTAATTTTAACGCCAGCTGCTGCATAGGGTATGTTTTTAGACTGCGATTTCAATAAAAAAAATGTTTCCATGGATGTGAACCACAAGAAGCACCACTAACTGATTTTCCTGCTTGCTCCTGTGGTCGGTTGACAGGTAATGATATATTTTTAAATCTGTGCTTCACCGGTGAGAGGTTCCTGATTCTATAAATACACTTTATTTTGACCCTTTACCACTACATTTGGTTTTGAAAATGAAAATACAGTAACGCTGTGTGGCATGATTACGGATACATATACAGGTGCCATTCATACATTGAGGCTTATTCATGCATTGGGGCTTAAAATAGATTTCCTTGAAACTTGCGTGATGAATTGCAAACATTATTTTAAATTATGTGTTACAGTAAGTCTCCGCTTGCTTTACATTGCTATAGAGGTTGGTTTAATATTAAGTGCAATACACGATTCAAGTTATGGCTTCTTGTGTACTGTGCTGAGAACTAGGCTTTCTCTCATGTGAAAGCCAATGATTCAATGCCAACTTTTCAGCAATGCTGGCATAGTGCCCCAATGATATGGATATCAAAATGTCCCCACTAAGTTACATGCATTGCATTCACCTGTGATGAGCAATGTTTAAATTTCAGCAAAGGTACGCCTAATCAAAATGCATTGAACAGTGGAACATTAGATTTTCATGCAAATGACATTTAGGTATGGTATATTTATAGAAAGGGAGTAGGTTATATGATGCATGTCGGAATGAGTCAGTCCCTCGTGCTGTAGGGAAGGGTGTGTAATGTGACCAACCGCGCTGTACACATTTCGATATTGCAGCTAAATATAATGTACTGCTGGATTCACGGGTGACATTGTCTAGCAATCATCTTGAGGCTAATTCCATAATTTCCCTCGATCATCAAAGCTGTTTGCAAAACAGACAAATCAGTACTCATGTGGTAATGCAAGTGGTTGTTGTCGAGCAGCATATGACCTCATGGTAACTACTTAGACGATTTCAGAAAATGTCAAATGGCACCTCCCCAAAAACGCACAATTTTCAACAAAAAGATCCTGTCATTCCAATTCCTTTGAATCACATACGACGTCAGCACTGTAAGGTCAAGGCCTTTTTTTTTTACAACGCGTGTAGTATTTAAAAAAGGCCCCACTAGCTGTACGTAAGGAGAACCCTTGGTTAGATATTGTGGCACATGCCTGTACTTTGAAGATGAGTTTGGTGGATGGAACACATATCATCATGTGTAAGACACAAATCTTTAGGCACAAAGGCAACATTACAAAAAATTGCAGTCAGGAGGTTTTTATAGATACCTGTATGCGAATGCAAGAGCTCTGCTTCCCACATTGAGCTAATGTACCTGTGGATATTTTAATTTAACAACTGGCTTGGAACAATTGAGAAACAATCATCTCTAATGTTTCATTGTTAAATGCTTTTATTTTCAAAAGAAGTTATCAATGCAGTTTTTTTAATGTAATCGCCTAATAGGAATGTCTTTACTTCAGGTATTAGTTCGCACGTGCCAATCATTGCAATCGCTATTGTACTAAAATTGTACCAAAATCGATTATTGGTTCCTGATTTTCGAATAATGAAAATGGTTACTGATGTACGAGTTATTGTTTAACAACCACGATCAATTATAACTGTTCTTCTACAGCTAGTTACATTGCAAGGTCTTACTGTGTTCACAATAACCCCATAAACTCAATGGGATCTCACCTGGTTGAATAAAAAACATATGTCCCAAAGCCTAAAATGGCGCATGAGCATCAATTAATTGGGGGCACATGGTACACTCAGTATCCAATGCCACGGCTCCTGCAACTTCATGACCTACGTTTTTCTCATTCTTGTATTTTTTTTCCTAAACCAGTATTGTGACATGCATCGCCATCGCTAAGTGCAAATCACTCATATAAGCACACGTATAATATTATTTGGTTCTTTCGGTAAAGTCACGTAGATAGAAAAAAAAGTTTTTTTAAACAAACTAATTAAATAATACAAATTCCTAGTTTAATAAAAACCAAAAACTCACGACGTTTTGATCGCAACACAAGCAGTTGTCATCAGGCGCCTGATTTTGTATTTTCTATCTATGTGACTTTACCGAAAGAACCGAAGAATATGAATTCCTGCAGTCACAAAAGTCTTAAATCAAAATCCACACGTATAATGTTAGTTAAAAGGATACTATCCATACATTCATTGGTTAATGTGCACACATCTGACCCATCAGCAAAATCCAAACAATACATTTAATGGAATATAAAATGCTCGGTAGAAAGGTGCTCAAAACTGTGAAGGCCTCATGAATACACTGTTGGATGAAGGCATCCACGTGTCTTGTCACTTGTGGGGGTTATTTGACCATCTATGCCTCTTATGTATCATGTCCACAGTGGTGGACTGCTATGATTTGTGGACATTTCAGCCTAAATTCACATTCGACCAAAACCATGTTTGGTTATTATTTAAGTTATGGATGCAAGAGGGGCACAGTATATTTCAGGGCAGCGGTGGGGAGTTGCCGGACCGGTCGAAATACCACTCGCCACTGATGTAGTAATAGCCATTGGCAGCATTGGGACTCTTTTATAATGTCAGTGTGCTAACCGCCGTGCCACTACTCCTCTGAATATTTCATAATCACAATATTAATACTGGAGGAATCTGATGACGTACGAAGCTCTTTTTCACAGATGTCCAGTCGGGATCAGTGCTCACCACAAATAGCCAGGATTATTCTAACAACAAATCCATCCTCCAAAATATACCTTTACATTTTGAGGATGTTTCAAAACTAAATTCCATCAACGAGAGCTCCGGGCTCAGGCGGTTCCAGCGTTCAAACGGCAATTGTCGCACACATCAATGACTGCGACTCGCAAAGACTGTTGGTTGTGTTGTTGCCCGGGTCAAACACGGAGCGCAATGGAACCCGGCTGCTGTTGCTTCGCTTGCTCGTGGGAGGAGAGCTTCGGGGGGAAGGTGGGTGGGGTGGGGGTGCGGGGAATGGAGGGGGGTGCGGGGAATGAAGGGGGAGGGGTGCGGGGGATGGAGGGGGGTGCAGGGGATGAAGGGGGAGGGGTGGGGGGATGAAGGGGGAGGGGTACGTAGGAAGGAGATGGTTGGAGTGGGGGTGCGGGGGATGAAGGGGGAGGGGTGCGGGGGATGAAGGGGGGTGCGGGGGATGGAGGGGGGGGGTGAGGGGATGGAGGGGGAGGGGTGAGGGGATGGAGGGGGAGGGTGAGGGGATGAAGGGGGAGGGGTGCGGGGATGGAGGGGGAGGGGTGAGGGGATGGAGGGGGAGGGGTGAGGGGATGGAGGGGGAGGGGTGCGGGGATGGAGGGGGAGGGGTGAGGGGATGGAGGGGTGCGGCACTCCTCATCCTCCTCCTCGGTGACTTCAACGCGCACGGCGTGGTGACGTAACAAGGGAGGCACTGACCAATGAGCGAGGGGAAAAACACACACGGGCAAATCCACACACACACAGGCGCGCGAAATAAATAATAAAGATAAGAATGTCACGGCGGCTCCTGACTCAGAAGCTCGCTCTCCCCTCTGCCACTCGCGGCAGGGTCCCTCTGTGATATTACCGAACACGGCGCGATGGTGGTGGTGGTGGTGGTGTAGCGTTGCGTGCGTGCGGCGTGGTCGCGTGTGATGATAGCGATGCTGGCGAAGGTGACGATGGTGCTGGTGTGATCATGGTGATGGGTGGAGGAGGAGGAGCAGCATCAGCAGCAGCAGCATCAGCAGCTCCGTGGCGTGTCCCCCACGGGGGCCGGGTTTAACTCGGCAGCCGGAGAGGGAGCGACCACGTCTCGACGCGTCCTGCTGTTTCGACGATCCGGCTCGGGGTACCGCGGGGTGAGTTGAGTGTCCGGAATACAAAGCGGGTTCCCGTGTGCTCCTCCTGTGTGTGTGTGGGTGTTGATGTGGTGAGAATGAATGATGCTCCGCGAGAGTTGTGCGTCTTCTGCATCATAACTCATCCCTCCCCGGTCCGCAAATCTGCGCTGTTCTTACTCCATCTGGACAGTTTTTTGGGGGGTTTTTTTTTTTGCCGCATTGATTTTTTTTCTTCTGTAACTGTTTGCCAGTCCGTTTCTGGCTACAGCAGCTTCCCGTTTCGTCCCCTTGGCTTGCCTTGTTTGTTTTCGTTCCTTTCCACCAGCCAGCCTAGATCTCCATCTGTAACCTAAACCCTAACCCCTAACCCATACGGAGAGGAAGCCCTCTTAATGATCTGTGGGAGAGGGGGGTTAGGGGTGTCCCCCCGGGGGTTGGGAGATTGCTAAAACGTGAAATGGAAAGGGTGCTCGGCCAGGGAAGGTAATCGTGGTTAAATTTCGATTTAAAGCTTTCGTGACTGCAGGGATTCATATTCTTGGTTCTTTTTCACACCTGATGATGATTGCTTGTGTTGCAATCGAAACGTCGTGAGAATTTTATTATTTTATAATTTCCCTTCTACGTGACTTTAGCGAAAGAACCCAGAGTAATCGTGGTTGTTTGTCGAAAGCAAATCCGTGCTCCGCTCGCTTTCGGCATCCCCGGCCGAGGTTGCCTAATTGCAAGGCATGGGTCGCATTGCTGTTTCACTGGGTGGCCTGGGTTTTTTTTTTGCTCCCTCCAGTCAATTGGTGGCTGTGCTTCGTGGAGTCGTACAAAAAAAAAGAAATTCGTCGGTAACAAACCCCCCAAAAAAAGTATATAATTGCCAACGTTTCGTTCGATAGCCCTTCTTGACAGCACGTAGAGTGAGAGGGCCATAGAGAGAGAGAGAGGTAGTGGCGTGTCAGCGACGCCCTCCCTGCGTTCTTTCATGTGTGTGTTGATTGCGGGGAGCGGTAATGTAGTTGTTAGCGTGTTGCACTACGAACCCGACCACCCGAGTTCGATTCCCCCCCCCCCCGTTCACGGCCACCAACACAAGCGACGATGGTCTGAACCGGTCCTGGCCCCTCCCTGAGGTCAATTCGGACTCAAATGAGTACCTGGTGCGGTGTGTAAACATTGCGACTGGGTGACATTTGATCCAATAGACTTAAGGGGGACAATTGTCTTTGTCCGTTATGTCTTTATGTGCCCGTGGGTACATTTGCATATCCCCACGTGTGCAGCCTTTTAAATGTGTAATATATGTGTGCTTGGTTAAATGTCTATACGGTATTTTCACTTTGCATTTGTATACGTATGTGGCCTTTGTAAATGTATGTACGTGTACTCTGTTCGTTTACTTGGACTTTTTTAAAGTGCATATCTGCGTGTTAAATGTGTATGTGTACGTTTCGTAGAAGTACGCATTGGTATGCGAGGTAGGCTCTGTGAAGTGTGCTGCGTGGCTGCGTACAGGGGAGAGGCTGTGGATGTTTTGTGGACGTACGCACCGATTGTGTTGTGTAGGTTAGCGCATACGGCATGCGCGAGTGTGTAGCGTAAGTTGTGGATGCATCGTGCTGTGTGATGGGTCTCTGTTGTGTTTACGTGGAATGACGATGTGTGTACGAATGCGTTGTCGGTAGACGGTGTGTTTTTAATGCAAAAGCGGGTAGTTTTACGCATTTGAGATGTCGTCTATATTAGAATTACATGCGAATACCCATTGATGCGACAGGATCCTGCCTAACACCCACTTCACTGCAGATGGTGTTGGCTTAAGCATCAGCTGGACATTCCTTTGAGAAATGCGCTGGGAATCGAACCAAAACAAACTAGATCAGTGACAGGTTCTTCATAACAGTCTGCCGATAAACCACACGTGTGTGGTTGCATCTCAAATGAGTACATCGTGCAGTATGCTTTATTGTGTACGTGCATTCCGTCTAAAATGCGCACTTTGTTTTATGTTGTACACGCATCTGTGCTGTATTTTAAATGTCTATACCGTATGTACACGTTGCCTTTTTTAAAGGCGCGTGTGGCTTGCCATTTAAATGTGTGCTTGTGTACTTTGTCTCATGTACTTCGCCTTGTGTCAGCTACTCGCATTCTACAAACGCTAGAAATTGGACGTACTCTTTTTCTTTTATGTAATTGAATGACAATGATAAGGCCATTTATTTACCTAGGAAGGCCAGTTTTTTTTTATTCAGGATGGTCCTAACATTGGGATGTTTGGGCATTTCCACTCATGATTGTTTGTGGCTCCATGTGTGAGGAAATCAGAGTATCCTGGGAAAACCCACGTATGCAAGAGGATAATGTCCAACACTCTGCCATGAGATACTGTATTGAAGGGCCTGCTGTTATATTGCTATATTCTTGGTCACCATACAGCCCTAATTTACATTACCTGATATTTCAAAGCAGGCTGAACAACGCTTAGCTCTCACAAGATAAAAACAAAATAACATTAGGTGTTTTATCTATTTTAAATAGTTGTATGCGATTGGTGGGGTGTGTGCCTATATTTGTCTGCTTGAAACAAACATGTACGGAATATTGTGCTTGTGATAAAAAAATACATTGTGTGGGGTTACATGTGCACTTCGTCTGTGCACGAGGGTGGACAGGAAACGGCCCTCTAAACATGCCTACATTGGGCCATTATCTCCTTCATTTGGGCCATTGTTTATCTCCTTCATTTGGGCCAATGCTGTCGATCATTGGACCAAATGAAGCAGGCCTAATGAGAGTGCAGCAGTGGTGCTTGTGGTGCGTGTGTGTGCGCGTTCGTGTGTATGTATGTGAGTGTATACAATGCTTCGCAGCAGAAGGCAACGTCCTCAAAGTGCTTCTTGCCTCCTGGGGGCTCTCAACAGTGAAATTTAACGGCAGTGGGTGGTGGAGACACAAGGGGGAGGGATGAGGGGGGGGGGGGTACTCCTCTGGGGATTGCAATGCACGAAGCAGCATATTTGGCAGCAATAAACCCACTGTCTTCAGCAAGTGCAGAATTCACATCTGCAAAAGGGCTGCTGCAAATTCACCGCATGTCAACATGAAATGTCTCCTTCGGCTTGAGGAGAATCCACACCTGCAACACTCTGGACGCTTGCGACGACGAGGGTGAAGAACAACATCTCCATTTACGAATTCCTTTCTGGTTGCTCGAACGTGCCCGAGATGTACCTGCTGGCGCTGCATGCCCACAGCGTGATACATCTTGACACGGCCAGCCCCAATAGTTGTGTTTTAAGGCTGCACCCACAATCGGGCACCCCCCACGCCCTGTTTCTTGCCCTTCTCGCCACCCACAACGCATCACGACTCAACCACGAGTAGCAAGCAAAGCAAGCAGAAGTCTGGCACAGGTGCCCCAGGCTAACTCAGTACCTCCTCCTCCTACAGTGCCTGCATCAAGTTGTATATAATATCAGAGTGTGTTTTTTGTTTGCATTCTGACCACAAGTATTGTGCTTAATGCAGACATGATTCCTCGTAAAAGGTTTCAGTTTGGTGTTTTAACATCTTAACACCTGTTTTGTTGCCAGAAAAAAGGGGGAAACCCTATTCTCATATTTTGGTACTGGCAAAGGAGGTCCCATGATGCATCAAGTTGCTCAACACGCAGAGCAGCGGTGTGCTTGGAGTGCACTTTACAGGGTTAGACTGGACTCCAGTGTGTGTGTGGCCACGTGCATTGTGACGTCGTTATTAGGTCTGTTTTACCAAAAGATCAGTAACCCCGCCGAGGCAGCGTGCAATCACATTTGCACCGAGTAATTCCCAAAGCTGTTGTCAGCAGCTGAGATTTTGTAGAGACCCCACTCTAATACGCGTGCACCTTTGTGTTTTTGTTTATGTTGCATGAGCCCTGTCAACATGGCTTTTATTCTGAGGTGCCAGGCAGTGCTTGCTTAATTAAGCTAATCGCACTGTGTAGTTGAGCCGATATTTACATCTACTTTAAATACATTTTTTGGGATTTATTCGTAGTAAACAAAAAGGCTAGGATTCTGCAAATGTGTAACAAATGTTTTCTTTAAGTGCGTTGAGGGATTAATGAAAACAATTGCATTCTTTCGGCTGAACATCATTGAGCTAAGCAAACAGAGCCGAATTTTAGAACCCTTATGAGAATTTCCAGCGATTCATTACATGAGTATTTGGAAGAATGTTACTTAGAAGAATCTTCTTGTAGAAGCGTGGGGTATACGCCACATTCTTTTGATGTTTTTTTTTTCTGCAACATAACTGGTAGAACCGGTTGGTTGCATAAGTTAAAAAGCAATACCTGACCTCTGTTTGCAAGTTACTCCTCTAAAATGTGTTTGTTTTGTTGTCAGAATTGCACGTAACTGCACAACTGTACTGTATTTAATTCCGGTAGTTGGCGCAAATAGTTGCATTTATTGAATAGCGTGAAAGCATGGCATAGTCAAACCTTTCAGTTCACGAAGACCTGTAAATACAGTACTGTTATACGTTTCAACATTTTAGGGTGGGAATACTTGCATGGGCAAGCTCCGGCATTATTCTCAAGCAGGTGTGTTCGCCAAACCTCCACATACGTTTTTCAAGCTGTGTTATTTCAAATGATTAAAATTACGAGTCAATCCCTCCTCGAACGAGCAGTGGGGCAATATTTATCTTCATTGGAGTCCAGAGGTGGAAAATACACATGCCCATGGAAGGAGGGCTATCCTGGTACTCAAGTGGTGATAATTTAATCACCCTCATAAGGGACGATGGGTTGAGTTGACCCCACTCCCTGATACAATAACAAGTAGACTTGATGACGTAAAAAAACATTCCTCTTTTTTGCATGCCACAACTGGTCGCGGAAATATAAATTACAAGAGTAATTTTGAAAAGGGTGGAGGAGTAAGCAAGAGGAATCATAATATTGTGCAACCAAATCCAATTAATGACATGTGTTTATTACTGTATCGCTTTCTGATTACGGTCATGTAATTACATTAGCCGTGGTTGGATTTGTGAGTTTTATTTGAGATGTATTTGGCTTGGTGGGTCGATTGTCATTTCACTGATTAATACAGTTATTTTGCCATTTGCTGAGGACATGTAAAGGGTGACTGCCAACCATTGTATATGAAGAACTTTGAGCTTTAGCTTCACGCCTCCGAGTTCTTGATCGAACATTGCGTCCGATTCCAGAAATATGTCCGCATTATAAATCGTGTTATAATTATTATTATGATTGTCTGAGCTTTAGTCTGTAAATAAGCACCACGATCTCCAGCAGTGCCTGGCTGTGCCAGCAACTAATTTTGACATCCATGACATTTTGGACAAACAATTACTGTAATAAATAATTACGTTTTACACGTTTTTTTGTGTGGATGTTTGCTCATTCTATTGTAGTCACGTATACACGCTGCATAAATTATAAATGTATTTTTCAGCAATGCCATCTGGTGTTGTCACTGAATAAGGCCCCCCTGACCTGAGGGTACACATTGATCTTCTTGTGAATTCATTGTCAGAGCTTTTCCTAACGGATAGTAAAGCGTCTTCATTTGAGGGCAATTTTAGCACACGATGGCAGTGGAAGCAATTGTATTAAACATTTGCATATGTCACTGCAGTTTTGTTGATTCCAGGTTTGCAGTTAACGCAACGTAAAATGTGCGTTGCTTTGTGCTTCTCGTTTTAGACATAAATGTTCTCACAATTGTGTGTTATTGCATAAATGGAAAGCATTTATCCATTTCTCCACTCGAGAAAAATAATAATCTTACCATAATGTTAATTTCATTTCTGAATGTGCCAAATTTGTTTCATTATACTCCACTGCCCCAAGCATAGTGTTTTTGCAATGTGATTAAACGACACATGCATCGTTTTTTTTTGTACAGTTTCATATATGAATGCAGAAAAAAAAATCAATTTGCAATTTTCCAACGATTGTTGTGTGAGATGCGAGTCATTTTACAGTGCTGTTCTGGGTGAACACGCTGCATTTTCCATGGTGACATCTGTGAACCCAAAGGCCACTTGGGAAGCCTGCCAGCCTTCAGTATATGTGGACAGTTGTGCTTTTGTTCACTGGACCATACCGTTTGGGGTTACATGTGTGCAAACCATGGTGGAAAAGTCATAAAAAATAATTGCATAATAACCAGTGATGATCCAGTAACATTACTGCCAAATTGCAAGGCAATTTTACATATTATTGTTTCATTTGAGTTGTATTTTTGTGTTTTGTTCTGTGCATGCCTGTAAACTTTTTTTAAAGTGATATTGACTGATAACAAATGGAATAATTATTCCATATTTGCAGTCCAGTGACTATAACGTATTCATTTTCACCAATTATGTGTTTTTTTTTCCTTTTTGCAGATTGAAATATTTCACTGCGATCTATGGAAACTTCTTTTTGAGAGACAGCAAGTGGACTGGTTGGCTATAATATAAAAAAATGAACATTTAAGGTAACGAGAATAAAAGTGCATATTATCAGACACCATGTCAGGGGTGCAATCTGCAAGCGGCATCCCAAGCGCACCACACCCAAAGGTCCGAGCCCTCTATGGCTACGAGTATATTAGCTCGGATGGAAGAGTCATCAAGATGACCGAGGGTGAAGAGTTTTTTCTTCTCAAAAAGGCCAATGAGGACTGGTGGCAAGTGAAACGGCCCACGGAGAGCAAGCCCATATACGTACCAGCGACATACGTAGAGGAGAAGCCCATAGAACAGTCGCCTGTGCTCAAGACGTTTGGCAAGATGGCATCATTCAATGGTGGTGGCTCAGGCCTGCGCAACGGAAGCACAGACCAGCCAACGTCGCCCAAGAGCAAGATCGTTGCAACAATTTCACTGCCTCTCAACCCCTATGAGGGCTTTAGGGGCTCCGTCTTGATGCAGGATGACTCGGAATATGCCGAAATTACCTTCAAGGAGGAGGAGACGACACACCTGTCCACAGGATCCTCACAGGTGAGCGCATCACTACAAGTCGTCGTCATCGTCAAAGTTTTATACTGGATTTGTGTTCCTTACAAACAACACTTAAGCACTTCACGTCAACAAGTTTATGGTTCATCTATGATGCTTGTTATAGATCAGGCAGGCATTGTTACACGAGTGAGACACCTATCATGCATGGATATAAGGTGGTCAATAGATGGCAGTATAGAAAGTAGATTGCTGGCCTATTTACATATTTGGTATTTCATGGGACCGCCTTTGCCAGTACCAAAATATGAGAAGAGGTTTTCCACTTTTTTCTGGCAACAAAATAGGTGTTGAGATGTTGAAACACCAAACTGAAACCTTTTACAAGGAATCATGTCTGCATAAACCACAATACTTGTGGTCAGAATGCAAACAAAAAAACACACTGATAATATATGCATTGTCTTTGAAACTGATTGTTCCACACCAGAGAGAGCTTTCTTTTGAGCCTCGTCTCAAATGGTGTTAAACCAGAGGACGCCAAAAGTCGTATGTTTTTTGTTTGCATTCTGACCACAAGCATAGTGGTTAATGCGGACATGATTCCTGGTAAAATATTTCATTTTGGTGTTTTCACATCTTAACGCCTGTTTTGTTGCCAAAAAAAGGGGAAAACCTCTCATATTTGATATTTCTCTTTTTAATATTTGTGATTTTCAGCTTGGGCCTCCAGATTCCTCCCACAGATAGAATAAAAAGGAAGGAGCTAAACATCTCAGGGAAATCTTTCTGAAGAAGATGTTTTTGGCTTGGAACTGGTAACAAAAGTTACGAAACCAAAGCACAGGAAAATATTCTCATGCGTTTTATAATTCTACCACTCGTGGTGTAATGCATTCAGGAATATCGCTGTGTTTGAAGTAGAGTATTGTGTTTTCATTTCCAGACCATAATATTGCGTTTTTAGTCGGGGGGGGGGGGGGTGGGGGTTAATCTGACCAGGTGGCTCAAGGGTAGAGCGAGCAGCTTACGCTGTGAAGGTGGCTAATTCAAATTATGGTTGGGGGTTGACTCGGCCAATTATCCTTATGGGGTCACTTTATGGGCAAGTTTACATTGGTTGTCCTATGGATAGACTTGCCCCTGACATAGGTATGAGGAGTTTTTACCACTGGCTCAAGGCTGTAAACAGGAGATGAGCCATCATCTCAATGCGAATTTGAACTGAAAATCACTTTCGACTCTTTTTGACTACTGTTTTAGGAATTGTACATAGTTGAAGATGACAAGGGCATTGGCTCTTTGAGTCAAACACATGCTTTACTGCTATCAGGGTAAAACACGATTAAACATTTATTTCAGGGAGCCTTTTGAAGGGATAATTGCTATGAGCTGAGAGCTGTTTTGGTTGCTGAATGTCTGTAACCGGCTTTTGTAAAAAAAAATGCAATTAAACATGTGGACAGTGCTATCAGGAATATATGTAATTATCTGATAGCATAACATTTTGCAGTATAAATCACATTATACTATTGTATGTTTAATAATTAACACGTAGCTCAATGGATTCACCACTATGGCTACTTGCAGACATGCAATACATTGAGGAATAGACTTTGATTTAAGGCCTAGATCCTCTGACGAAGCTTCGAATTTATCACCGCTACTCTTTATATCAGCAGTTCTTAAATCGTGGGATCACCTCCACAAAATCCTTTCGAGGGGGAAGAGCAGGCTGTGTGGCAAGGATGCCATACAGGATAATTTAGAGAAAACACACTCATACCGCAGCATTAAACAACTGCCTTACAAATAGCACGTTGACTAGAGGTGTGGTTCTCTCTTGGTATTGTGGCCCTCATAATGGGGCGGCACGGGGAGCAGTGGTCTTGACTGGGGGGAGGGGACCATACCAAAAATGTTTTGCACCGCAATTATGTGACCAGAAATATAAATGTACTGTTTTATAATAGGCATTTTTTCTGCCAAAGCAGGCAAAAATAACCTAACATTAATTATTCATTTACTGAAACAGTGTAAATTTGTCTCACTATTAACACATGGAAATACAAATACCGCAGTGTACAGTCAATTTTGTCGAGTTATTACGTGAAGAAAAACATGCACGCCTCAGAAAATGCAAAATAGATGCTTTCCTGAGCTAGCGCCGCTGATATGTATAAAGGCAATTCAATTGTTTATCGTGGTAATTTTATTCAGTCCTTGTATTGTTGAATGGAAATAACTTGCGTAAGCATAACTCTGCAAATCAGCATTTTAACTAAAAAAAATGTCAGAATCTTCGTTTTACTAAAAGCAAAAGGCAACGATGCGATATTCTGAACTATGGATGGACCATCATATTGGATCATAATGACAAATGTTACCTTCTCTTAGCTATCTGGTCTGTCTGTTCTGGACGTTGGCTTAACATTGCCACAGATATAAAGTATTAGAATGGAACAATCGCTGCATTAGATTATGATTTATATTAAACATACAAACTCGTATTTCTGTAAGGTATTATACAATCGTAGAACGTTAAACAACTGTAAAATATACATTCAGCGGCTGCAGGTCACACATACAATAATATGAAATCATATTAAACATTGAAAACAAATGTCTGTGTTAATATGGTAATTAAAATCTAAGTGAAAAATACATAATAATAAACAGCCAATACAGAGTAGAACATTTTTACTACCTTTTCCTGACTTGTAGAACACAGAAACTCAGATGTTTTAGACTTATAAGGGACTTTAAACTTGCAACTACAACCCAAGATTTAATGATTTGCCACAATTTGGATCATGAGTCAATTTAGAAATGATTTGTGTCGGTTTGACTTGTCTAATAATTATCCTTCTATTTGCTTCCTTCTGCTTCTTTTCAGTTGCCTAAATGTATAATTTATATGTAACCAGTAGGGAATAAAACGAATACATTCTCACAAACTGGATTCTATGTATGCACAATCTCTGGATTTTATTAGAGTGAATGCTTTGATCCAAGCCGACTGCACAGTTCACCAGTCGATTGGCAGGTTGTGTGTGATGAGGAAAAATGTGGCTACTGTACTCCCAGTTCTTCCAAAACATCTGACCAGCATGCAAAGGTGAGCCAAAATCCTCTATAGAGGGTTTCTAGAGCTGCCTCCAGTGGAGACCCTTCTATCAGGAGTGGTATGAACAAGACATTACAAGATTGCATGTATACCTTTAACATCAGTCTCCTCCAGTAGTCTTTATTATGCAGTGTGTTGAAGGTTTACATTACTATGTATTAGGTAATGATTAATATGTTCTAAAATACATTTATACTGTGCTTTAGATATGTTTTTATCAGGAGATTACTAGTTTTAATTTGCAGAACTTTTAATGGTTTCATAATGTGATCAACTTTTAGAATAGAAATGCAATTGCAATACTGAACTCTGCCAAGTCACATCGACTCACCGATTCTGATCAATTTAATCGGCATTCTTTGAAGTGTCATTTTTAAAAATATGATTTGGGTCACGTGATCATATATATAAAAAAAACACCAAACCACACACCCTATTCTAAACCAATGCTCTTGATAAACATGTCCCATTTAAATTCATGAGTCACTGGCAGGCAATTACCATAATTGTATGCAGTGTGAAGGTAAAACAAAACAACCTTGCAGCATAAAATGTTTGATATTTTCTCATAAGTTAGTTCTCCTAAAACGCAGTAATTGCGTTGATGAAGAACACCGCGTTATGGAAAAATCACGTTATAATAAAGAATATATAATATTGGGTAAAACACAGTCCGCACGAACACGTGAGATGATGCGTATGCAGGCTGAACCAAGACTGAGGTGCGTGGGTAGCATCTATAAGCATCCAGCAGCATCTCGCCTTGTGTGATGCGAGGTCGAGGCAGCCGTACAACTGCTTATTTCTACTCGCACGACGTAGCTCTGTTCACTCGGTGGCGTTATATTCAATTCGCATCCGCGTTGTAAAAAAAGGTGTTCCCTAATACGTTCATCGTGTTATATCCAATTCGCATCATGAAAACGCGCGTTGTAGGAGGACTTTACTTGGAATTGTACCTTAGCATGCAAACTGTTTCATTGTTAATGTGACCCAGCTATTTATAATATTGTCCTCTGGTACAAAAATACTGACTAGGTCAGATGACCACACATTTTGGGAGTGCCCTTTGCATGGGAGGTGGCTGGGTGGCTCAAAGATCAGAGCGTTGAACCTCCCAGAGTGAACCACCCGAGATCCTAGGTTCAAATTAGCGTTTGAGACACCGTGATATAACCGGGTTCTCTCGCGTAGCGAGTTGATGATAGTCTTAGCCTGTTCACCAACGACTGCGTACAAAAAACCCTCCTATTTAAATAATGGTTTCGCTGTCGCATGACAAACAATCTCACAGCAGAGTGTGTGGAAATTGGCAACCCCCCCCTCCCGTGTAAATTATATACGGCTCCTTGCAGGATGTTTCAGTTGTCCAATGAAACATCCTTTTTGCAGCACTTTTCTAACACACGGATGATGCATTGCACTCCGAGATATCTGAATGGATGTTTTTAGCCATGACAATGCACTGATAGCGCAATTGGTATAAAGTGGGGCAGGACATTATAAAAAAAAATTGCCCTTTGTGAAATTGTCATCCTGCATTGGGGTTTTCAGGGCTATTTCACTGAATGCTGTGAACAATCTCTGCCACATGCGAAGTCTGCTGTGCTGTTGTATTTATTTAGGCCACGATTTAGACATTGTGAATGTGCACTGCATACAGATCTTTTATTTACTTGCTTAGCATTGCATATGAAACATTTATGTGTACGTCAACTCGTATGCACCTGTTTGGTAACCATTTCTATAAGTTTACTTATCGAAATAACATTGTTTTATTGCCATGTATTTTTCACCTTGTAGTGCATGCATATCCTTGTGCAGTGCTATGACAAACGCATGTTGTTATTCTTTAGTAGGGGAAGATAGGTGGCTAACGGGGCAGCGTTGGACACTAAAACAATCCCTGCTGTAC